ACACGCTAACCAGCAGGAAAGTCAGAGTCGCGGTCGCTCCCATGCAAAGGGCCCCGGAAAGATATGAAAAATTCTCGGGCCGAGACACTTACTACTACTACTACTACTACTACTACTACTACTGCTACTACTGCTCCTCTTCCTCTTCCTCCTCCTCCTCCTCCTCCTGCTACTATTGATACTACTACTACTACTACTACTACTACTACCACCACTACTTCGACTATCACTCCGACTACTGTCTACCATCTACGACTACTACTAGCTGAGCCCATCTGGCCAAAATGGTGGATTGGGGAACGTGGACTGCCCGTTCTCCTAGCCCCTGAGCATAGCAATGCAAAACCACCGACACCGATATTGCTTCGTTCCCGAGTGTCTTGTAAGCCCCGCGCCATAGAACCTGAATAAAACCTACGCCTACAACTCCCTATAAGACCCGGAGTCAGATTACCACTTGAGGGCTTCCCCTAAACCCTCAACCCCATCTGTCAGCCTTACTGCAGACCATAGGGCCCTTTTATGCGAGGAAGATCCAGGTGGCTGCGAGAAGCTTGGCTGCAAGCTCTTTAGGGCATTAAGGTGAAGAGGGTTTAGGACTAGGAGTTTAGGATGAAGTTTGTTAGGGTCTTGGTTTAGGGTTTAACGGTTAAGGGGTTTAGTATTGGCGATTTTGTACCTTCGTATGCTCAGACATTCAGGCGGTTGCACAAGCCCTGATGCAAAACGTATTGGCGATTGATGTGTTGTGCGGTCCTGAAACATTGGACGTTGTATTTCCACAGCTCCCCAGTCTCCATCGGAGTGTTTTTCAGCATGCTGCGGTGATGCTGCTGTTTTCGGCCTTAATAGTTAGAATTGGGCTTGGGGGTATATTGTACTATAATTATAATAAGTAGCCCCCCAAACCCTATTCTAATTCTGAAGGCCCCTACATTATGTGACATAGACTCTTCACATCTTTGCTCGGAAAGGAAGGAAGGCATTGTGTTTGACATGCTTGCTGCGTTCAGGAATCATTGTGGCCATTGAGAATCCGCTTGACATCATCGTAACCTGGCCGCTGAAGGACAGTGAACTTCACAAGTCTACAAGCTCTAAACGCGCATGGTGAGATCGCCGCTACTTCTGTTCACTGAAGTTTTACTGCTCGGTGCTGGATACATCGGCCGCTTGCGATGGCGGCCGCTTTTGCACTGCCTGCATGAAGAAGTGAATCGAAAGATCCGGATCCACTGCCCATGCAGAAAGCAAGGGTTAGCTCTCTCGTGGGCGATGATGCTTCAACAAATTTGGCTTTGTCTGGCTTCCTGAGACGGGAGCCGTATGAGATGTGAAGCTTTGGATGCAGAACTAGCTACCCAGCTTTGCGTTAGCTGCTCGTTTCCTCCAATGCCGTTCAGGTAGCCTCGCAGCGACCATACGGTTCCCGCGCCGTGCTGAAGTTTAGTATCCAGGCAGCATGGACAATGGGCGGCTTTAGGATGTCACAGGTTTCAGGGTCGCAGGGTTCAGGGTAGCTTGAGTTGACTTCGGCGACAGTCTTCACATAGAGGCATTGCCGCGACCTCCACGCCCCGACTCCAATGGCTAGACCAACAACTCCAGAGACTCAAGTATGGTAGTTATAGGGCTGGAGCATTGAACCCCTGCCTGCCTAGTGTAGGAGAGTTTGCATATGTGGTGTGCAGCCTTAAGTGCATCTATGATGAAGACTGCATGGTCGTTTAATTTTGGGGCGCTTCGATGTAGGATGATGAATATGCTTCTTACTTGGGAATCTGATTCGGGAACCCTAGTTCGATATTTCTTCTGGATCCGACTCTTCGTGGGATTTCAAGCAGGAGGGGTTTTCATCGGTTAGCTTTCAAGTCCTGAGGTCAATACACTGGTGCGAATCCCTTGGCTGGCAGATGGACGCCAGGCTCGGGCACGGGGAGTGCTCAGAGCTTTAGGCTCTTTTCCTAAAATGCCCTGCAGCTTGCAAGTCGTGATTTGGGTTTGTCCAGTTCTTCTTTGTTCAGAAATATGTTCAAATGCACTTAGGAAAGTAAATTGTAAGAGAAATATTGCACTCAGCGTTCTTCATCACAGTCTCGCCTCGCCTCACCGATAGTTCGTGGGGCCTCGAATCTCCAACAGACTCGAACATTCTCCTTGGCCTCGAGTCGTCGTGGGCCTTGGCTACAGCTGGTACTAATGCTAAATGGCACCCTTACAAAAAATCTTTGCTTGCATACATGTGCTTACATCGATGCCCAGGTACCCTCACGAATCAGATCACGCAGAAGTACTTGGAGCCTAGGCTTCTCATCGTGACGGACCCCCGCACAGACAACCAGGTGACACGGTGGCAGAGGATGCTTGAGTTTCGTGAGTGTCAGGGGGTGACCATTGGAATACACTTCCTGTCTGGGCGATCCTAGCCACAATTGGAAGCAATCTTGCTGCCGTTTTGGGGAACAGTCGTAGACATTCGTGCATGTAGGCTACAGGCTCCGTACTCCTGGCAGGTAGGGCTTGCTGCTACAGAAACCATGGCACTGTCCATTTGCACCGCCCTTGTCGACCCCCGCAAGTTTCGTGTAAGACAGGCCATCAAAGAGGCTGCTTATGCCAGCATCCCGGTGATTGCGTTGTGCGACACCGACTCTCCCCTGGACAACGTGGATGTAGCGATCCCTGCCAACAACAAGGCCGGGCTGTAAACCCAAAGACCAAAACTAAGCGCACACCATGGGCGGTGCTCACTTGCTTTCCCCGTTTGTTGGATCAGGGGTTGCGAACACCCTCCTTGCACTAACACTGGCAGGGTAAAGAGTCCATCGCGCTGCTGTACTGGATGCTGGCAAGGGAGGTGCAGCGTCCTGGTCCGCAAAATTCGCCCTTGACATTCGTTCGTTCCGTGGGTACGGTTGCGACGTTGCACATGGTTCTGAGCGGGTTATAATTGACTCCAGTAGCTCCAGTAGCAATATGCAACATATGCCTGTACATCACGACTGCAAGAGGACAACTCAAGGTTTGCATCAGTTTGCTCGCTGGAGTATGCTGTCAGTGATCCTAGCAACAGCAGCCGGCAGACTGGAGGCAAAAGGGATGAGCCAACTATTAGGGGTCCCCCTCAACAGTTCTCACAGTTCTCACACGCCTAATTTCAAATCTGCGGACCGCAAATCTACTCACCCCTGGTACCCTCACGTAGCCTTATGTCTTCGGGCGCTTTCGGCCACTGCAGACAACATCAGATCCACGACAACAGCGACCTTGGACATACTAATGCCGGTGCCAATGCCAACACAAGCACACCTAGTGACCTAGTGGAGTGATTAAAGAAAGGCAGCAATGTCAACGTAGACAACAACGACAGAAAAGGAAAGCAGCCAGTCAGAAGCACGAAGCAAGCTGCAAGAGTACGACATGCCTCCCCAGTTGTTTTCGCAGCTTTGATGTGTCGACGGAGTAGACGAGTGCGGGAATTCGCGTTTGGAGGAGAGGATTGGTTGAAAGTCGAAGAATTCAGTGCTACTTTAGCTTCTGGGTCTTTGTCTGGTGCATCAATGAACATGACCTACCACGCTGAAGCTCGCGACCTTAACCTCCGAGAACTGCGCCCGAGATTTGGAATCAAAGGCCAAGTGACTGTGGGGCAATGCCAAGTCAAGCCCAAAGCAAGCCCGGGCTTGTTCGGGATGGTCTCACCGAAAACATCGGTGTTGCCGAGATTTCTTGTGTATGCATGTCGCTTTTTGTACAAGGATGCAGGGTGTTCCCTAAACCCTATATAAACCCTTTACTGAGTCCTCTGTGGTTCAGTTGTCATGCTTCCCAATTTGAGTTAGGCACGCTTGTCAACGCTTAAAGACTGGGCAAACAGAGCTGCCCTCCTACTCAGTAGTTGCATCTGCCAAAGTTACCTGAACAACCCTGCAATGCAGGCTCGTCCTTGCTAAGTGGCAGTGCGGGGGACAAATGGGTGGTTGTCAAAATTATGGTCCCTTTTTGGGTCCTTATTATAATACGGCACCTATTATTTGGGGTACCCCAAATGGACCCTAATTCTGACAACTACCCCAATATAAACCCTAAACCCTTGCCCGGTTGGAGCCCAGGTACCTCCGTGGCCGCATTCCTCGAAATCAGCCTTGGGATGTGATGGTCGACTCCTTCTTCTGGAGGGATCCAGAGGCCACGCCTACAAGGGGTGAGTCGGTTGAGGGTGCACCGGAGGCATGGCACTGTTTCTGTTTATTTCAGGGATTTTTTGTTGTTGCGGCGAAGATCTTTGAGATTCGGGACTTTCTACGAGAGGCTGTACTTGCAGGAGCAGGCAGTGAGCAGGAGGTGGTGAGCACTAAGTGAAAGTGTAGTGTCGGGGCCTCCTCCGGCATCGAAGCCACCGTGACAGGACCCTTCAAGCAAAAAAGCAGAAGCAGACTTATGGCAGAACCTAACACCAAAAGTTTGCCATCGTCTCACCCAGCTCCAGTTTGCCTGGCTCGCTGGCTCCAGGCCTTAGGATGCCTCGTGGCGGGTGAGCTAGTGCACTTGGCTTCTGGACTTGACTTGAGAAACCCAGGGCCCCCATTGCTCTTGAGAAGTTAGCAACTTGTGGCGACATAGGCGCCACAAGCCGGTCTAGAAACATACCCTCAGTTCTCCCAAACAAGCATTTGGCCGAAACATTACATAGAATGCGCGCCGTGCGTTCGTTGTAGGGCCTGCAAAACGTCTCGAACAGTGGAGGAGCCAGGCAATCGAGACAAAACGCCAGCCATGACACGGCCAGAGATCAGGATCCTGCTTGACAGGATGCGTATGAGGCTGCATGCTCAGCGCTTCCCTCCGCCTCTCTTGTCATGAGGAGGTGATGCAGGACGAGGAGCCCGAGCATCACATGTCCGTGTCTCAGAACTACGGCCACCCGCAGGATCCAAGGGGTTCTGGGAAACTGGGGCCTTAGCCGATGTCCAAAGCTCCTTGACTTCAACTTGTGGAAACCTCCAAGGTTAAAGTCATTGCATGCTAAGTTCAGAAGTTTCTGAGCTTCTTCGGGGATGCCTCCATAGACCCTAGACTCCTGCTTGATCAGCAGGAGTGGGCACCTCCGGCTGCCTGGGAAGGTGCTGGTGGTGGTGGCATCTTCCTCGCATATTAGAGGGAACGGCCTCCGGAAAGGAGAGAAATTTGGGGAGACAGAGGGAGGGGGGATAGCTCCTGTGCGCGTCTTTTCCTAGTTTGCAGGATTGCTTCAGTGTTGTTATTGGGGAATTTCATCAGCTTGTTTGGAGCCTAGCACAATAAGCCAAATGTCGCATTCCGCGCGAAGTAGTGAGCGCATGGGCGGGCCACTGGGGGCATGGCCTCTGCACCCTTCCCTGCAGGGGAGCACAGGCATAGCACGCATGCATCCACGACATTCACACGCATGCACATTCGCATAAACGCACGCCCATGCACGGGCGAGCAAGCACACACACACACACACATCCACCTTTTTTCTATGAATATACGGTTCCATCTATCCTTTCCCTTCTATCTGCCTCTCCATCCACCCACCCACCCACTCACCCTTCCATCCGTCCATCCGTCCATCTATCTGCATATGTATTTTTAACGAGACTATTGATCTGTCTATCTATAGCGTGTTTTCATTGTTTGATCCTTTCCCGTATCTGTATCTCTCCGCTTCTCTCTATCTCTCTCGCTCTCTCTTGCTTTCACTCTCTCACTCTCATCCTCACCCTCACTCTCGCTTGCTCTCTCTCTCTCTCTCTTCTCTCCTCTTCTCTCCTCTCCTCTCCTCTCCTCTCCTCTCCCTCTCCTCTCCCTC